ACCCCCTCCCTGGGCAGCGCGGGAGGACTCCGGAGCGGCGCACCGGGAGGCCATCTGCCCCGCTTCCTCTGGCGTTCGGGGCGGGGGCTTGCCGGTGCTGCTGCAGGGGCTTGGCACCAACCTATCCAGCTCACGTTTGCCAGCAAACGGTGCTGTGAGATCACGGAGGCCTTTGCTAGGAACTGGGAAAACCATCTTCCCAGTTTGAAATTTAGGAATGAATCGTCTTGCTCCTGGGCTCCAGCAATAAAGTGGTAGTGGATGAAATCCAGGTTTTGTTAAGGCCCAAATGTTAAAAACGATAACTGAAGAAATTATACCTTAGCGTCCAAAGTGAATCGAGGAAAAAGGTTCTTTTGGCATTGCCAGGGAAGAGGAAGTTAATTTCTTACTCGCCAATAATTACAGGAAGCAAACATGGCTGCAAAATGAAACAAAGGTAACTTAGCAGCTTTATTATGGGAGAGGAAATATTCTTTCTTAGCAACAAAGAGCCATTTATCGATACAACAGAGGAAAAGATATTTACCGCAGGCCTTTTTCAGGCCATAAAATGCGGAGATGGAGCAGTGCTGTCCATCCAGCAGCCTCTGCTCTTCTCACATGCTACCAACTACTCAAAGGAGGCCAAGTGCAGTTCAGCCCTATGAGATGCACTGAGTGGCAAAGGGAAGGGGAAAGTGAAGGTGACACATTTATTTTCAGCTCTAAAAGTTTCTATTTGTTTTCGACAGCTACTCCAGATGAGGAGATATGGCTAATAAAAGTGAGTCAGACGGTCATAAAAAGCAGCATTTACAAAATAGATCTGTGAGGATGTGAGGAATTGTCCACTACGTTTCTGGCAAGTGAACTCAATGGTATATTTCAGAAAAGAAGAAAAAAAATCACCTTGTCCTGATGAGAGGGCAGACGTTGCGGGCCTGATGGGAATAGCATGCAGTCTCTGGCAGATGCTGGCCGAAAGCCAGAGCTGGATAGCAGCAAGCCAAACACTGGTCTGGCCCAGCACTGCTCAGTGGCTTCTGTGACTTGGTGGCCACATTAGGCAGATGATCATTTGGAAAATACCTAACTACAGAAAACTAAAAAGTAACTCTGCAAGATTTTGAAGGTTCAGAATAAATCAAATGTTTCTACAGATTACAAAAAAAAAAAAAAAAACCCACACAGAGGGTTTTTTTCTTGTTCAAACTTCATAAACGTATGGAAATTCTGCAATTGGGGAAAACACTACAATCCCATGTTGGCTATTAGAAAATCATAGCAAGAGTTTTGGCATGACTGAATAGCAGCATTACCGATGACCGCCTGCTCTGACTCCCATGGGAATGGGGAGTGACCCCACCAAAGTCAGTTAAATCGCACTCTGCACTCAGTGTTGCATTCACAGTTCTTCAAGGGGTGCACAGAACCCCAGGTCGCACTTTTATTCTTTACATCTGGGTCACCCAAACAATAAGATCTGCACCAAAGATTCTGGCAGTGCTGCAAAGAGACAAACAGAGTCTTTATCACTGGCAAAGGCAGTATTTGAGGCAGCCAAGTGGTTTATATTAAGATGCTTAAAATTTTATATGTCTTTACTGTGGGGGTTCAGAACTGGAACATGAACAAAGCAGTGTTGAGGAAATTACTTTCTTTATTAAAAAAAGAATAATCAGCAAATGGAGGAACAGATCAAAACTGGAAGCTTTTATCAGATCTCCCACATATTCACCATTCAGACATAGCAGAACCTGGATTTGACTATGTCAAATCTATGGCAACAGACCTCGGCTCAGGTCCCCAGCTGGAACCTGGGAAAATTAAACTAAACTGCCTGCAAAGAGCAGAACAAACAGCATCTTAAAACGAGGCTTTATGGATGGGAGAAAAGATGAGGAAAATGCGGTGATAAAAACAGGATGAAATGCAGTAACTACTCCTTAACTAAATCACTGCAACAACTACTCAGTCCTCCGATTTCTTCACTCGCCAAATGCCACACCAGCTAGTCATCCCCCTCCCTGCAGTAGGTCTTCATGCCAAGTTTGGGGGTATGAGTCCCTGATATCTGCGCCCCAGGCTGCTGTGTCACAGACCCCCCCGCCGCCCCGCAGCGACGCCGTGAACAGCGTGGGCTGTCCCTGTCCCGCCAGCTGACCCTCCAGTCCGTCAGCCGCGGCCCCACGCTGCTCCAGCCGCCGGCTCCTCCAGCCAAGCCCTTGCTCGAGGATTTGCTCTCACGATCTGCTCTCTTACCCCAGTTTCCTACATAACACAATATAGTTGGTGAGATCCAAAGCTGAGAGAGACAAAAATAAACACTAGAATAAACACCGCTCCGGTGCCGGCTCTGTTCGCCTCACCGGTTACTTGGCAAAGGTTCCTCTAGCTTGTAGGATTAAGCACTTCCCCTGCTACCCGCAGAAACTCCTTTAACTGAGACCTTCTCCTTCCCAAATGATGACGCCAGATCTATTACCTGCTGTCTTAGTTTAGGGCCACTGGTCACCCAGGAACGTTATGGATCACTGGCTTGTCTGGACATTCAAAAACCACTACAGTTTCAACACCTCTTCCATTTTAAGATGTAGCAAGTTTTCCACTGAAATGCTTCCCAAATGTGACAAGACATGAAAAGCAATTTGGACCCGTTTCAGGCCTTCCTTGGGGTGCTTGTTACCCACCTCCCTCTCTCCTTCTGCAAAACGACGGAGGAATCCTCCCCTCCGGGGCTGGCGGCCGCTCTCGGCCTTTTGCCCTCAGCCAGCAGGCTACATCGAACAAATCTGAAAAATGGAGGCTGGTTCAGCGCCTGTTCGGTTCTGCAAAAACCAGAAGCCATCCCAATGCTGCACTATAGAATTATTTATACAAACTTTTCCTGGTCAGTACTTTGTGTTGTATCATAATGAAAATAAGGTCTGAACTTCCTCTGAGTTTCAGCATCATGAAATGCTGTCTCTTACCCCAGTTTCCTATATAACACAATATAGTTGGTGAGATCCAAAGCTGAGAGAGACAAAAATAAACACCAGAGCTGCCTCTCTGCCAAGGTCATTCTGTCATAGATTTTAAAACAATGGGGAACAAATCATTTTACTGCTAAAGACGCACAAAAAAAAACCCAAAAAACATAGACTGGTGTGATGGAGATACCAGGAGTGTTCAAAAAGGGAAAAATATCTAACTGTACAGATTCAGATGAGAGAACAAAACAGCCTCTGCAGGAACACAGCTCTTCATTTGCCTTCTGTCCATTAGTAGCTGCAGACCGTCATCAATTCCTGGTGACATAAGTAAAGTCAGAGAAATGGTACCACAGATGGGAATGTCACTTCTCATCATCGCTGGGCTTGCTCTTCCTTTCAGGTGTGCCCCCGGTTACTATGGGAACCCTTTGCTAATTGGAAGCACTTGTAAAAAATGCGATTGCAGTGGCAACTCGGACCCAAACCTGATTTTTGAAGACTGTGATGAAGTGACCGGCCAGTGCCGCAACTGCCTGCGCAACACCACCGGGTTCAAGTGTGAACGATGCACTCCGGGTTACTACGGGGATGCCAGATTCGCTAAAAACTGTACAGGTACGGTCTATAGCTTAGCTGGGCAGAGCAGACACCAGCACAGCATAGCCTGCGGGTGACCTCCCAGAGATCAGAGGTGCCCGCATCAGTCCGCAGACGCTTGTGGCCCTGCGGGCAGTGGGTGCTCCCAGCCGCCTACCTGGCGGGGTAATTTGGATGCCTGCTTGTCCAAATCATCCCAGGCACTGCCCACGAGGAAGCTCAGACCCCAGACTCCAACATCTCAAACACCGGGGCAGGATGAACGTAGGCACTGTTGTGTCCTGCATCTTGTTTGAAATAAGGGTGTCTCAGCTTGCTTTGGGCAGAGACTTCACCTTTGTTTGTACACACCACATGCGACCCAACATGGCCACACAGACTGAGGGCACTTGAAGACTTGAAAGTATTTTTAACGGGAACAGGATCATCCTTCCTGTCCTGACCCAACCCCTGCTAGTTTTCACAGTGATAATGTATTCCGCATTTCCCACGGGTCTGCATTATCTTGCTGGTTACTGTATTTCCACACCAGAGATGACTGTACTTCCAGGGGCTGATAAAGTGCTACCTAGAGGATCTTCCCAAAACACACCTATACAGAAGGATTACAGAGGTTTACGACCTTTCATAATTATTCTCCTAATTTACATAGAGTTCAATCCAAATAGGACTTTGGGCTCTTGCCCTTTGTCCTTGCTTTGGCTCTGGGAGACGAGATTACATGCCCTTTCAGAGCACCGGGAGCAGCCACAGCTAAAGGCAAAATGCAGGTGCTCAGAGCAAGGACCCTGGGGCTTCCTCCCAACCCTTTTGCCAGAGTCCTTCCCTCAAGAGCACAAGTTGGGGAGATGGATCACTCCTAGCTCTCAGCCTGACTTGAAGGTAAGACACGGCCAAAGCTCGCACCCAACCCAGACCTCTGAAGTGTTCCAGGACCTCAAGGTACAGAGCTACAGGCCTTAGGGCTTTAGCAATGTCTTGATCAAACCTATGTCCTTCTCGCAACTCACTGTACACTTGGACTTTGATTTTTACTAGCTACTCTAAAGTGCTAAGGTGTGTTTTGGGACCTGCAGGATGGAGGTTGTGAGGACACTCTGTACTCAAGTGCCCTTTGTGCTGCTGTCTTCATTTGTAGGGAACTGTGCATGATGCCACTAGGTCCCTTCTGGTTTTATGTTCCAGTGAGCTAGAAGTTGAGTGTCCATCTCCAGGGTATAATTCACAAAAAGACAGTGGCTGTAAGGAACAGCATGCCCCGCAACTCACCTCCTGCCTAGATTTAGGCAACCAAGATATGCCTGAAATTCAACATCTCTGTGATTTTGAGGTTGCAAAAGCAAACCTCGTTTATGCACTTCACTGCCTAATTCAGTTCACCAGAGACGATTTAACCGCAGTTGTCCCGTAAGGAATGACAGGATCTAGCTCATGGTTCCTGGATGCCATGAGGCAGGAGGAACGCACTTCGACTCAGCAAACCACAGCAATCGCGCCCTGGCCACGTGCAAAAGCAGAGCTTCAAACTGCAGGGCAATCTAAGCAGATTATGCAAGACATAATTTTGGAAGGCATCTCTGAACATCGTTTCTAAACCGAAGTTGTCAAACATTCATCACCTCAGTATACTTTTGGTTTGCACCCTTAAGGAGCTGTAGGAATTAGAGGCAGAATGCCTTGGTATTATTTACGTTTCTGAGGTACAGTTTAAGTGGAATTTCATGGTGCACAGGACTTCTTTATACAGATTTTTCATGCAGACTATAAATCAGCTTGGTAATTCTCTTTGTTAGCAGATTTCCTTGTAGTGTTTGATCTTTGCTAAAAAAAAAAAAAAGTGCCTGGGCCTTGAATATGTTGTAAGTACAGCTTTTCTCTATTTTGTAGTGAATTTAATCTTGTAGTTGACTCTAGCAAATCCCAATTTTGCAGTATTATGTTTCAGACAATTACATACTTCTCGTTTCATCTTCATCTCTGCTGAACACCACAACGTGCTGCACTTGACAGTACTGCGTAGACTGTGTGCACCACTCAATACATCCATGATTTCCAAACTATTTGGGTAGTTCACAAGGCAAGCTTACTCTTTGTTTGGCATTTTGGAGCAACTGGGAACTCTTATTTAGAAAAATATTTTTTCTGAAATAAGACAAATACTTTCTTTAACTTACAAAAATACAGAAAAGAAACTAGTGGAGGAAACAAGAGAGTCTGCATACATGGTTTCCACAGAGCACCTCAAAGGTTATATAGAACAAAAAAATGTAAGAGAACTAAATGGGCAAACAGATCTATCCAGCTAAGATCATCTTTTTTTTTTCTTTTGAGTGAAAGACAATATCTGTGTAGCTGTGGACAGTAGTTTCAGCTTCTTTTCAATAGATTTTTAAACCACATGTCCTTTAGCCACACTTCAAAGCTTTCCATAAATGTTCCTCAGAAATAAAAAAATTTAGAAGCATTCTCCACCAGTAAGTCACAGTAGTATCAAAAGTCTTATCCCCTGCTAAAAATGTGGTACCTCCTAAACAAGTAGATGAAAAATTGTCAGGATGGCTTTTGAAATCAATTTATTATAAACATTTCTGTTTTAGTAAATTACTCAGTTTTAGTAAATTATTCAATTACTCAAAAACCTTAAATTAATAGTTATCCACTTAAATAAGAAGACACAATTTGATTTTCTTGAGTACCAGTCTTATCCAAATTTTAATCTTGTAAGTGTAATCTTGCAAGTGTAATCTTGCCACCTGGGGATAGCCTAGATCCAATGATATAGGTAAACAGAAATCTCTGCTTTCAGCTGAGACTTTTCTTCCACTTTTTAACAAAAGAAATAACAAATCTTAAAAAATTGTAGATCCAAAAGCTGGGAGGCACCCAGTTATACAGATTGTGGTGAGGTCAAAATATCAATTGCCCCACAAAATTAATAACCAAATTCTGTTCTCACATTAGTACAAAACCTGAGTAGTTCTACTAACACTGGTTCATTTACACAGAATTATTCCAGTGTTAGTGCATTATGTTGACTTTCAAGCTGTATTACACATTTTCCCTGATAATTCCTCGAATGTGCAACGCGAAATGTAAATACAAGAGTAATTCATAGAGAACAATGAATGGGCTGCAGTAAAATGGCAGTAAATATTTTTGTTATATGAGATTCTGCTGAAACCATGAATCACAAGAGCAAAACGAATTCCAGACAAGTCGCTGCTGTTCTGATGTTCTGCTTGAGTTTTTGTTATTTGATCAAAATGTTCCAAGAATAGTTTAATCTTTTAAATAATATATTTTAAAAGGCCAATTAAACCTTGAAAGAGACATTTTAGATTAAAAATCATACTTTTTAAAAAGTGACTTGTGCTGGCAATAAAAATGTAGCTTACTCAAGTATAAAAAAATGTAAAACCTCATTTATTCTTCATTGTAAGTGGTAGGAGATACTTACTTTTTGATGTGCTCAAGCTCATGATGGAATCGGAGTCCACTGTCAATCCCTGGTAGCTGGAAAGCTTATTTAGTAGCAGCCTGTCACAGCATTGATAAATTCCACAGGTCTGTGGACAGATCTGTAACTAACAATTAACTTTAGTTGTACTGCTTTCCTTAGCCCATCTCCTAAATGTCACCCTCTCTAGACAGTGATGCACAACAGCCCAGCTGGGCATCTCTGGCCTCACTGCCTCTGCTTGTGACCAGCTGGGAAGCTTTGAACAAGTCATTTCAGCAGAGGTTTTCTGGTTCTGTTTCCCACCTTAGATTTTATCTGGTCCAGTTTGACTGCAGTGCAAAAAACCACCTTTTTCTACATACTGAAGGAAAAATCAGTTCAAGAAATCCTTGATTTTGGTTTGACTATCTATGCACAATCCTACGTACAATCATTTCATTAGTCTTGGGAGGGGAAAGGTGAGTTGTACAATTTAAAGATGCTTCTTTCAAAAATCCTTTCTTTTTCCCCAGAATGTAACTGTGGAGGGAGAATGTGTGACAGCCAGACGGGAGAATGCCTCGCAGACAGTCCTGAAGTTTCTACTGGCACAGACTGCCCAACCATCAGTAAGAAGATTATCATAAGAACACGAAAAATTAATATTGCTCTTGTATTTAGATGCTTAAAAATATTAACTTAAGGGCTTGATTCTCCAGGGGGCTCAGCACTCTGACCTTGGTCCCACATGGCACTTATACAAGTGAATCTGCACAGTAGCCTGCTGACTGAATATTTAAACATGTTCTCACTTTCTTGACGGAGTACATGCACATGTCCAACTCATGATACAAACTGAATCATAGAATCATAGAATCACAGAGTCATAGAATAGTTTGGGTTGGAAGGGACCTTTAAAGGTCATCTAGCCCACCCCTCCTTCAGTAAGCAGGGACATCTGCAACTAGATCAGGTTGCTCAGAGACCCATCTAACCTGACCTGGAATGTTTCCAGGGATGGGGCATCTACCACCTCTCTGTGCCAGGGTTTCACCACCCTCATTGTGAAAAATTTCTTCCTTAGATCTAGTCTAAATCTATTCTCTTTCAGTTGGAAACCATTACCCCTTGTCCGATTGCAACAGGCCCTGCTAAAAAGTCTGTCCCTATCTTTCTTAGAAGCCCCCTTGAAGTACTGGAAGGCTGCAATAAGGTCTCCCTGGACCCTTCTCTCCTCCAGGCTGAACAACCCCAACTCTCTCAGCCTGTCCTCACAGCAGAGCTGTTCCAGCCCTCGGATCATTTTTGTGGCCCTCCTCTGGACCTGCTCCAACAGGTCCATGTCTCTCCTGTGCTGAGGGCTCCAGAGCTGGATGCAGGACTCCAGGTGGGGTCTCACCAGAGCGGAGTAGAGGGGCAGAGTCACCTCCCTCGACCTGCTGGCCACGCTGCTTTTGGTGCAGCCCAGGACACAGTTGGCCTTCTGGGCTGCGAGTGCACATTGCCGGCTCATGTCCAACTTTTCATCCACCACTACCCCCAAGTCCTTCTCGGCAGGGCTGCTCTCAATCCCTTCATCCCCCAGCCTGTATTGATACTGGGGGCTGCCTCAACCCAGGTGCAGGACCCTGCACTTGGCCTTGTTGAACCTCATGAAGTTCACAAGGGCCCATTCCTGGAGCTTGTCCAGGCACTTCTGGATGGCATCCTGTCCCTCAGGCATGTCAACCACACGACTCATCTTGGTGTCAGCTGCAAACTTGCTTACAAACTGCGGAGCAGTAGGGAAGTATCACCAAAGCCACTTCTACTGACTTTGAGACACAGTGCCTGCAAAATGGTATTACGGCCCTAAAAACTGCCATCACAACTTTACCTTGCATGTAATTACTGGTTTTCTAGTTGTACATCTAATATAAACTTGCTGTTGGCAGTTTGACATATATCCATCAGTCAGTTGCTTTTCCACTACCATCTCCCCTATTCTAACGGTAGGAAGCCTGAGGAGTTTCCAGAAGCACTATGTTGTAACTATTGGTAACCATGGATATTTTTTTAAATGTTAGTATAATTACGCCTGTGGTATAATGCAGACCGTGTAGCACACATGGGTTCCTATACTGACTCCCAAGAAGAGGGGTCAGGTGCCTGGAAGTGCAACCAGAAAGAGAACATTTGGGAGCTGCTTCCATCAAGAATACAGACTATACAATATCAAGCAAAAGTTTCTGTAGGAATCTGTGTTTCACATCCACCTAAGTCTCTTGCATTTATTGGTGGCACCAATGTCACTAAAAACAAGGTGTGACAAGGACATAGTTCCACACAAGCATAATCCAAAGATGTTACAATTGTGGTTTTAGAAGTTGCCTTCCTAATCATATAGGCAGCCAAGAGCCCATCTGCTGGACATCCTTACTTCTCATACCATCAAATTTTAAATACAGAGTTTTGGGTTCTGACAAAATGAAGTTGTTTTTTTGACCCCCATCTGTTGTTCTTCGGGCCACAAACATGAAGAGCCTCCAGGGAATAGCCAGGAAATACCTCTCACTCTCTCTCCCTGCTGACTACGGAGCCGCTTTGGCAGCCTCTCAGAGCAGTCCCATCTGGTGCTGCTCAGCTGGAAGCAGCATGACTGTACTGCGGGACCCTGAAAGCGGGCGGGTGAAAGCGAAAGAAAAATGGGTATCCATCAAGATCCATCAAGGACAAGGAGAGAGAACACCATGGGGCAAGAGCATTATAATGTGAATTTAAGATATTTGCTGTTAACTGACACAAACACTAAAGAAAAATGACACTGTCTTATTTTCTTATCAGGCTGTGATAAATGTATTTGGGATTTGACAGATGACATCCGATTAGCGGTTCTGGCTATCGATGAAAGCAAATCGACTTTACTGAGCATTTCTACAGGTGTTGCAGCTCAAAAGCGCTTGAATGACTTGAACCTCACTACCACCCATCTCCAGGTACAAATGTGGATGACATTCTATTTTTTAATGTAATTTTAAGCTATAAATTTCCACTCCGTTCCTATAAATTTCGATCCCTGCCCTCACAAGAGAAAAAATTTGCTTTCCGCTGCACTGACTTTTTCCCCCCCACACACAGGCAGCAATGTCCAAAAAAAAGAACCATGCTGCGCTTTGGACCATGCAGGTTGATGATGCTGCAGACGAAATGAATGATCTCCTGAGAGAGGCAGCGACACTTGATGAACAGGTTTGTTTACAGCCCCCTGCCAGAGCTCTGCGGGTTTGTGGCTCGTCATATTTGCATGCTGGCCTAAGAGGTTAGTACAGAATAGGTCCAATTGGAAGAGACCTGCAACGATCAGCTAGTCCAACTGCCTGACCACTTCAGGTCTGACCAAAAGTTAAAGCATGTTATTAAGGGCATTGTCCAAATGCTTCTTAAACACTGACAGACATGGGGCATCAACCACCTCTCTATGAAGCCCATTCCAGTGTTTGACCACCCTCTCGGTAAAGAAATGCTTCCTAACATCTAGTCTGAACCTCTAGGTTCACTCAGCAAGAGTGGGAGTGCCCTGAAAGATAGTTGGGAGAACTCTATTTCTATTTTCTATTTCTAAACTTTCTACTTTACTTCAGCTCTGAATTAAATGCATAAATGACCTATCAAGTCTTCTTCCCGGAAAAGGAAGGATGTAGGGCCAAAGTCTGTTGAATGTGGTCAGAGGTTTGTCACCGATCACAAAAAGCCTCCCCTCAGGATCTGAGTGCCCACCTACCCTCCTACACATGTTTGATCTGTGATAGACACGCTGCATTTCTATTTCGCATTTTGATTTCTAATTAAATTAAGTAACCAACTAATTCAGATTGACTTTGCAAGTATTTGTACTATATCTATTTTACATGTATGCTCTCATAAAATTAAACTAGCCCAGATTAGACAGTTCAAAATATGTTACAAAACTGCCAGTTTAAAAGGTTTTTCATGTACCCACTGAGATGGGAGCCTGATCAGCACTCAAGATATGCTTTAACACAATTCTAATCGTAAATGTTGCATTCACATTCAGTTGCCGGGCTATAAAATTAAGGTTATCTGCTCTCAGCTCACATAATGCTTTCATTGCACCCTAGAAGAATACTGCTATGATATATGTTAAGAGAAGAAATAGGGTTCAAAATTGTTTCTCCTTTATTTTAAAGAGATACTATTAAACACCTTTCTGTTGCTAAGAGATATATATTGGTGAGATGCATCACTCTCTGCTATTCTCAGAGATAACCACAGCTGCAGTAGAACTAGAGGATATTTCATGCTTATTGCAAAATGTCAGACCTTACATTCACTTACCAATTCTTCCACAAGACAAATTAAAATAACACCTCAGACTAAAACTCAAATGCAGAAGCAAGTAGGAGGAAAAAAACCACTAAAGAAGAGGAGAAAGGACTGTACAGAGAAGTGGAAAAGAAAACTCAGGTTTGGGTGTTTTTAATCAGCACTTAATTAGCAGAAAGGGCACTGCAGAATTACACAGACTATGCCTGTGTCCAAAGAGAGGTTTGATTAAATCAGGTCTCACACCCCCCCCACCGTCCCTGTGAAAATCCAGCAGTGCTCACACGCCTTGCTGTCCCTCTACGCAGCTGGTAGGCAGGATGATTAAGGAATTAGGTTTTCTGGGAATATTTAGTGAATTTGGTCAATAACGTTTCTGTCATCTTCAGTACTGCCTGGGGATTTCTTAGCTCATTCCACAGTTTGACTGTTCCTGAACCAAGAAATTCAGCATTTCCTCTGGTCTTTGCTCCCTGGTTATTTCTAATGCTTGTTCCACACAAACACTTGTGATTGCTTGTAAAGGCAGGGAAATAAACAGAATTGTAAACTGTCACTGTGGAAGGAAGACCACAGTAATAACTCTGAATGTATTCAAATATATTGAACTTTTTGCTCTTTCGAGGCACTTTAATGGGAAATGGGTACTAGGGCCTTGAGTGGGTTTTGCAGGGGGATGCTGCACCTTCCATTCAGGGCATTTCATGTGCACGTTCCCACGTCTGAGGGGTTGCTGCAGATTCTGATCTAAACCCCAAAGGCAGGATGAGTGCACCAACTGTAGGCAAATCCTCCTGCTAAATGTGAAGAGTGAATGTGACTTGTAACTCCCTGGGCCTGCTTGGGATGAGCTTAGAGTAAAACAGCACGTAGCTCAATCCTGAATGTTTGGCAGAGATTTGGGGGAGCTGAGAGCCTTTCCTCCCTGAGCTCTTAGCAAATTTCAGGATGAGACTCTGTACATCAGTGGGAATTTGAGGATCCCTAAGAGCACCCCTCACTCATGCTGCTGTGTTTCCCACCAATCTCAAGGCAATCAGCAAACCTGTCTCACCAGTTCCCCAAATGTTCAATAGTTAAAGAAAAATCTGGCAAGGAAGGAGTAAAAACAGTAACAAGTTCTTAACATAAGCATGAAGTGGCGATGCTGAGCAATAGAGCATCCGCAAAAAACCTCGATAGCAAGAAAGGAATATGAATAAAAGACATAGTGCTTGCCCTTCAAAGACTAAAAAACCAAATAAATAGAATTAAAATGGAAAGCTTTCTATAAACCCTTGCATTTGTTTCATACCGCCCTGGCCCTGCCTTCAAGCACCTCCTGGTGCCTCTGCAAACCCCGAGGAGAAGCCGCGTTTGCGGGCGACAGCCGAGCCGCGCCGGGCTGGGGGACGGCAGCAGGCTCCTCTGCGGTCCTCGCAGCGTTAAGCACACCGACAGCCAAGTTATCTCCTGGCTTACGAGGTGGTGGCAGGGCACCCCAAACCCAGAAACTAATTTTAGAGTGGGAATTTTTTGCTGCTGCAGCCCCAGCAGGGACCATGAATCAAACACCTTACTGCTGGCAAGCGTGCGGTGCGGACTCGTATGTGCGCACACACACGGACGGTCCAGGAATCGCTGACAGCACAGCAGTCATATTTATTATTCCTTCCTGGGAAATACCAGTGAAAACTAAATCTAAGGACTCCCAAAGTCAGTGGCCTTCTAGGAAGCGTGACAATGATGACATGGTAAATGTTCGTCCTTACATCCTCACCTGGTACCTCACCATACAGCCTGTTTGGGGACCAGATGACCTTGTGTCTGTGTCAGGGAACACAACGCAGAGTACAGCCTCCAACGTAATATAGTATAGGACTGTGGCTATACTCGTCAGAGCATTTTGAATCCTCATGCTTTTCCTTAATTTTAACAAGTTGCAGAGCTGGGGACTTCACGTGGGGGAGACACTGATCTAAAAATGGTTTTGAGCTTGACGCTTATTCTTCAGTCTACATGCTTACTCAGGAAACACCCTACCCAGCAAAATGAGCGAGCCCTGCTGAATGCCCAGGAGACTCAGCAGATGGGAGTTTTACAACTGTACATGATTTATGGCAATTTGATTGCAGCAAATGATGGATAAATATGGGACAGATTTTAATCTCTCACTCTGCAATTCTGAAAATACCGACAAGACAGCCCTTCACTTCAAACACTTCTATAAATACCACTTTATATGATAAATGGACTTTCACATGCTCATCAGGAGAAAGCAAAATATGTGTTTACACCGCTCATCCTCACATATCCATATGGATCTGAAAAGAAATCTAATGTCTGGCTCACATGGTTTATTCATAGGGCAATGAAGCATCCAGCAAAGGCCTCCTGGTACAGAAGGAAACCATGGAGACCAACAACCGTGCCACTCAGCTTGTGCAGCAGCTCAGTAATATGCGGGATAACATTCAAGGTAAATAGATTTCTTTCTGGTTCAGCTCAGTGTCAAGCATGTATTAATTAAACCTCCAGAAAAAAAAATGATAGCACCTGGGCACTCTTGCATAGCAACCCACACATAAGGCTTTTGCAGCCCGCAATGCCGTAACAAAAACTTGTCTCTCTTAAAAGACAACTGATACCACAGGCTAACGTGGTCTGATGCCCAGAACAAGAGCCTCTCTTTCTTTTTCCTCTCTTTAACAGGGCAGAATAATAGTAAATAAGTTTACATAGAATCACAGAGTCATAGAATCATTAAGGTTGGAAAAGACCTCTAAGAACATGAAATACTTCAAGCTAATTCAGCCTGTAGCCTTTGTTTGTTTGAATAGCTGCTCAAGGTATTTATATACCTTTGTAAAAAAACAAGTCAGTATCAGATTGGGGCTGGATGGAGCCACAAACACAAGCTCAGGATGGGAGATGAGAGTATTCTGTGTCTTACTTGTCAGCAGATTCATGCAAATGCACTTTTCCTATCCTGCTGATGAGTAATGGAGGCCATATGAATAGCTAGACAGATTTTTTTTAAATTGTGCTTTCCCTTTTGAACCCATTGCAGCCAGTTGTGTCTGACTAACTCTGGTGATCACACCAGTGAGTGTTACTTTAAATCCAGGTTTTGCCTTTTAGGAAACTGTTGCTGAGTAGGATTGTGCTGGTTCATATAACTTCATGCAGATGCTTCTAAAAAGAAAAGGGTGATGAATAGTAAATAATTTGTTGATTTTACTGCTTCCTCAAGCTCAGTGTGGGAGGCGGTAGTGATTTTCTTTTCAAGTTGCTTATTGCTTCATCTGACCAGAATTTCCAATTGAGTTTGGGTCCAGACATATCTACAGGACATTACAGACTAGCTGTTGCCCTCTTGTTCTTTTTCTTTTTTTTTTTTTTTTCTGAAATACAGAAGCAGAATTGGAAAACTGCATTCTCATTGCCTTCTTTTTCCACAAAGAAAACATTGCCTGTAGTAAAAGTGAAAGGCAGAATTGTAAACTGCATGGCTACTGCAGACTGTCTGAAATGGTTATTGATGCTGTTTCACAGTACTAGAGGTAAACATGATGATTAAGATCTCCCAAAATTAGGAAAAGAGTGAAACCAAGAGCTCTTTCATGTTAAAATGTTGGGAGAAACTGTCACCTACTGTCTCAGTGTCCTGCTCATCTGTCCATATGATGTGAGAGGATGCAGTTACAAAGTCTGTCCTTGGCCATCATGCTAGAGCAATAAAAGCATCTCTAGAACTAGTAAATTTCAAAACATAATTTCTCTTCTGATTGTAAATGTTTATATTTTACACCTTCCCGGATGAATTTTTTTTTTAATTTAGAGCCTGCAAAACCACTTGCATCTTCAAGAATTTTTACTCTTCTATATATCAAAGTATAAGTGACAACAGTGAACACATTCCCAAGCACAACTGCACTTAAAAAAGGTTTCCTGGTCAAAGATGATCATCTTTGTCTGGAATATCTATGACATATCATTATCATGCTGATATATAAAACTGAGATTAAACCAATTGCAGCCTCTTCTTCAGTACCTACAGAAAGGAGTAAAACCCCAAGTGAATGTACTCAGAAGCATCCCTGCCCCTGTACACCTGCACCATGAAAGCCTCCATCCTGCTGTAGAGCACACTGATTTCCCCCAGTCTTTGGCAGAGCCAACAGTATACAAAACTGTGGCACCAGAATAGAAAGGCTGATGGGCAGTTGAGGTTAAACAGCCCTTCTTCAGTAGAAATACTTGATTAACAGACCTAAGTAGTTCTGTACCAGAGCAATTGTTGCAAGCTCTATGGCAACTTGTATAAGGAAGAACAGTTACATATCAACTGTTATCTTTGCTTATCCTTATCTCCATGGGTGCTTCAACCATTACTTTATTTCAACAAACATAGTTAAGTTAACATATCCCATTATAAAAAAGAGGCAGGCTGAGACCATACTCATAGGATGTTAGATTTGTACTACCTTCTTACATCTGTGATGCTGAATCACCTTTGACTGTCTGGCCATCCATCACATTTTATTTCTACAATTATTGAGCAAAAGTGACAGCACGAGCTTTGTTGTATGTCACTAGCAATCACTGGTTGACCTCTGTGGATCATCCTTTTGTATTATTAATTGGTTTGGGGCAGGACAGGAACCACAGAAGGCAGACATGTTCTAGTTTGGCACACAAAGAGCACAGTCAGGTTGAGCTATCACAGAAAAAGCAACACCCATGGCTGTGAATTAGAAGAGAGTGCCTGTTCACCCAGAAAGTAGTTGGAGACAAGTTGGTGAAAATTATTTCCACTATGCTCAAAACTATTCTTCTACAGGGGCATCACCCCTGTAGAAGGCAAGCCACTCTTACTGAAGGGGAGGTGTATCTGCGCACACACACACATGCATGTGCCAGCATGAGAAGGAAAAAGAAATCCATGGAGCCACTAGTCATGATAGGTTACTGCTCAGTATGAGTCCTTAAAGCTTCCCTAATGAGCTGAGGAGCCGGCTGTACAACTGCATACAAAGACACTCTGCAAAAGAATCAGTTGTGCCAGACTTAATACGTCTATTTGTTATAAAAATCTTGCAGATGCATAGTGCTGGCTTTGCCAGCTCTGGTTATCCACAAAAGTAGTGATGAATGCAAACCAAAGCTACTCACACCATAGGGCATAAAAGAGGAGGTCGTTGGTATCTGAAGCCAGAGAGTGAGAAGTGGGTAAACTCTGCAATGCCTACACCGGGGATGGATAAACTCGATTTCAGCTGCAGGGATCCAACAGTGTTTTTTGAACTGAGACCAAAACCTTGAAATATTATCTATCTCCAAAGCTAGAGATACAGCTAGGCAGTATCAGGCCAGAAGTCATATGTTACCTCTTTAGGGTGCCTCAAACTTCTTCAGATGGAAAAAGAGGTTACTTCGGTCTCCTTGTCAGTGGTGTTATTTAATAAACATAACATTTTTGCAGCAGCACTTAAAAACCACGATCCTGGACGAAAGCCCCAGCCTGCTATATGCCACAGAACTTGGAATAAAATGATGATCCCAGCCTATAAGAACTGCCAAGCCAAATAACGCACACCACCCGTGCCTGCTTAATCTCATCCTCTTCTGATGAGACCCCCCACATATGCCAGAAAATGTGATTTATTTACAGTTTTAAATTTAAGACTGGATTAAACATAATAGTAATCTATAGAGTTGGAAGATCATGAAAAATTTCTTTTGCCATCAGCATGATCTGGACTCACAAAAGTAAAAGTATTCCACAGTATTTACTTCTCTGTAGCCATACTGGATTGACCATCTGTTCCCTTTTCCCACAGAAATCAGCAGCAAGATGCAATACTATGCAATTCAGCAAGAGCTGAGCCCTGAAGAAATTGCCCAGAAGCTGAGTGTGGCTGAGGAAATGCTGAAGGAGATCAAACGCCGTAAGCCTTTCACTAACCAGAGGCAACTTGCAGATGAGGAGGAAAATGCAGCGGAAGAGTGTGAGTTTTAAGCCTGTTTTCCATTCACCCACACGTTGACGCGCAGTTGGCGTCGGCCGGGCGGCTCTGGATGGACTGCCGAGCCCCCAGGGAGGACCGGCAGGCACTTGGCAAGCACCGACCGGTGTGCTGAAGATGCTGCTGCCGCCAAATGCCTGCCCCGAGTCCCTGCTGGTGCTTGATGCAGAAAAATACGTGTATGCCTGTGTGTCCGTGTGTGCCTGTGCACTGCGGCACCTCAGCGATAGCTGCTTAGGAAGATTCGTGCCAGGGCTGGAATTGTCCGTGTGAATGTCTTCCTTCCTCCCTGCCAGCTCTGCCACGGGGACCGTAAACTCCAGCAGAAAGAGAAAAACTGCTGAAACGGGAAAGGGCAGCAGCTTAATTCTCACAGCTCAGTGAGCATCAGTCAGAGCCCCAGGACAACAAGGACTCTCTTCTCCAGAGTAGCCTGCGACAATGAAAAACAAAGAGCAAGGAAAGCCAAACCTAGTTTCTTTTAGGAACAGCTACTTTGAGAAGAGGGAATTAATGGGGTTAGAATGAGATACTAAAATGAGAAGCATCTTTCTTTTTAAAAAGAGGAGGGGAAATTAAAATCTAGGTATATGATATCTCAAGTGAATTTGTAACAAATGTGTTTTACTGTCCCCTGAGTAACAGCAACAGAAATTGTTGCATAGGAAAGTTTTGTCAGAAATCCAAGCTTTGGATTAATCAGTGTCCTCTGATTTTTCTCCCAGTGCTACAGCAAGTTGAAGAGTTTCATGAGAAGTACAACGACACCAGATCTCTAGTATCTGATGTGCTGGAGCAGCTCAGCGAACAGGATGTGAAGCTGTCAGACCTGGAGGAGGCATTAGACCAGGCGCTTGACTATGTTACACAAACGGAGGATATAAATAAAGAAAACACAGCCAATCTTCAAAGGCGTGAGGTACCATGCAAGTACATTTATCATAACTGTTGTCTGTGAACACTCCATCTCTGCCAGGGCTTAAAATAGGAGACTGCAAACAATTTAGATTCAGGAATCATCACACCAAGAGAACTTCTTGGACCACTCAGCAGGATGAGTTTGACTCTCCAGTTCTAAGAAACAAGTTGTGGAAGTGCAAGGTACTATTATTTATTCATGGAGTGACACTAAATGACAGATCTCAGCAGGCCAAGGAAGAGATGGATACTAATGCCTAAACTAGGAAGATGTATTACAACAAAACCCAAGGAGCTTAAAATTCTACGTAGCATGGCTGCTATAAATATTGCAGTGGGATTATTTTACCTATTATGTACTGATTTATAATGTGGAAGGACTTCATGCTCAGGAAAGTAATTATATTCTATTAAAACAATTATTTATAAAGACTCTGCACCACATTCGTGCCCTGGGCTGAGTGCGTTCATACTGTCTCATCCAAACTTTCTCTCTGGTCCTCTTTAAAAAAAAAATAGCCCCATTTTTTTCAGGAAGAGCAGATGATTGTCCTTGCACCATCAAGCACAAATCCATTCTATAACTGCTCCAATACAGATATCTTGAAACTGAGCTTCCTGCTTGTTGGGTGAACAGCCTGGCTATAGGCTGCAGCAGTTTTCCTTTATGCTCTATTCAAATGAACAGTTTCAGTATTTTGAATAAAGTAATCACTCCAGAGGAGACCTCAGAGGAGACCTGTCCCCTACAGCACAGAAGGGGGGCATGTTTGCCTGTTGCTGGTATTAGATTCAAATCCCATCTGGCTGATGAGGAAATTGAATTTTCAGGTCTCTCATCCCAGAAAAGTACCTAATCCATCAGCCATATAAAAAGACTATTTTTTCTCCTCCCAGTAGTTTTGTGACTCTCTCTGTTTGCTTCAGCTTCCATTAAGGAATGCAAAAGCAGAATGTCCCACCTGAAATTTTTCTCTTCGCGGATTTTTTCAGCAATTAAAAAAAATGAGAGAGAGAAATTTAGGACCATTTAAAGTGAACTGTTTTCATTTTGATGGCTGAAATTATTTGGATTCCAGAGGAGAGAGGTTTTAGGGAGCAATCTTGTGATCTGAAGAATTATCCTGCAAATTCAGGCCAGCCTCTGGGTTTCATCGCATCAGTGGCTGAGTTTTGAGCTCTTGAAATTTGCAGCATCAGAAGTTCATGCTGATGTGGAAGGTTTAATAATTCGATGGAGAAACCAGGCATGCTGTTCTACAAGCAGTTTAGGATCCTTACGTACAAAGCCTCTTCTCTTGTTCCATTGTTTCATAATTACAGTGCCAAGCTGCAGCTCATCTTATATTGATGAAGCAAAGCCTGAAGTATGTAGTCGCAATTGTTCACTGTTTTTAACCAGTTGGATCTTCATTATTCCTCAAAATGAAGGCAGATGCTGTACAAAAGAGATTGTTCACATTAGCTTTGCTATTGACAAGAAAAAGAGATCTCTGTACTGTATGTTTAAAAAACTTCCAGCAAAAAACTAGTCTCCAGACCACTATGAAAAATCCATGTTTAATTTGTCTCTGCTGGCAGTGCACAGAATAACAATTCATTCCAATAATTGCTCATGCTGTAATATACAATGAAATTAATTCATATAAATAACAAAACTAATTTCTTTCACAAAGACAAGAAAATGCAAGGAGTCACATTGTAATACGCAGCTATTGTAGATGTCTGGGAAAAACTTAAGACTTCAAATTTGTCTAAAATTTATTTAGTTAATCACCTCATCTTTTGAATTCACTTTAATAACATGACAAAAATGGTAACACTGTATTTTAGCAATTAATGAAAAAATTTAGGGTTTGATTGTGATTTAATTTTTTTTTTTAGAAACAACACGAGAAAATGAAAGAGCAACTAGATGAAGTGAATGGCATTCTGCTAAGTGCCACAACTATTTTGGTAGGACCGCAAAAAGTCAACTCTGAGTTAGGTGAGGTAATAAAGGTAGGTGCCTCAGTGACTTCTTTAAATGGTATGTCCTGACTTTTTAAACTTTTTAAAAGTCATGTGTTTAGACAACTAAAAAAAAAATCTCTCTTTTTTTATACTGTTTCAATTAAATACTCGTGAATATTCCCCCACAAATGTATAAATTTTCCTGGATGAAAATTTTTTTCTGCCTCAGAAAAATAATTATAAGGACACCTTACTGTAGGCACAGCTGAATGAAGGAATCTGCTGTAGGGTTCTCAATCATTTCATTATAAGCAGTTGCCAAAAGATGCTCTGGTAACAGAATGCACTATATGCTAAACTCCTTTTCTCATGCCTGCAAGTGAGCATTGGAGAAGGCTAAAGATCCCAGATATCAGTGTTAAAAGAAGTCACTGTCAAGAGTGTAAAACATATATAAACACATTGTCTTACAAAAGTCCTTTCCTGGAACTGTAGACCGGTATCCAGCGTTTTGAATGAGACAAGGTGGTGTAGGAAATTTTTAGAAGCTTAATCATTGCCATGGTTTTTGGACTTTCTATGAAAAAAAAGCAGCAAATAAAACTGGGATTTTGCTAACTAAAATATTTGCCATTTTACCAAAGCTTTTTTTTTTTTTTTTTAATTTTGAGATAGTTTAAGACAAACTAAGCTTTTTCAGAAACATTCATTTTGGCCATAGTTGCTCACTGTTTTAAACACAAAAGCAAATATCAAAACTCAACAATTTTTCTTTGAAAAAGTACTTTGAGAAAACAGAAAGAAGACAGCTTGTTTTATAACCATCCCTAAGTTATCAAGCAGTATGATTTTTTTTTTCCCCTGTGTTTTGTGCAAAAGAAATTGCTTTAGTTTGTCATTTTGGATCCCCCTGTGGATAAGTTCACACACAGGGGACGTTCGCACTGCAGGGAAGGAAGTAGTATGTTCCACCCTCCTCAGCAATAAGTGTTTTCATGCTTCACTCATTCATTCATCCTTTTTCTCTCCCTCCATTTCATCCTTTTTTGTTGTATTTTGAGGCCACATTTATAACCCTCAAACATATCAGCAAGGTTGTGTATTGGAGAGAAGATGAATGCAGGCCCATTTGGTCTTCCCCACAATTATCTCATATAAGGAAGAAGTATGGCTAAGGCATACTTAGCCTTTTCTATACATACATGTAGGTAGTATTTAGGTGGGCTGATTTACAAATTAGACTAACCCAAGAAGTCTTAGCATGAGGGACGTCTCTGTGCAAGGAGACAGAAAGGGGCCAGGCTCCATTTTCCACGATGCGACACAGCTCACAGCCGTACAGCTAAACTCTCTGCCCCTCTCCACCAACTGCCAAACTGTCCCTGGGACACTGGCCCTGCCCCATGCTATTCCCCAGGGAGGCAGTTTTGGGACAGTGGCAGCTGGCCAGGGCCAAATCAGTGCCAGGGCCCATGCAGTAACAGGATGATGCATAAGCCCATCTACCCCAGCACTATTTAGTTTATTTGCATAGATACCATTTAGAAGTCCCCAGAACTAATCTCTGGCCTGCAGTCTTCACAGAGAAGAGGTAAAAAAAAATTAAATTATGGGTTCCACCTCCCAATTTAAGAAGAACCACAACAAGGGGATTTTTGCAAAGATCTGGTTTAATTACTTCACCTATTAGCACTTCACTCTGAAAGACTTGCCATTGGCACCATCCTGGAGCAAACATAAAAGGCAGTAAGACACTTCTCAACTGTCTTTCCTTTGTACTTTACACATCTCTCTCTAATATCTTTTTAAGGTTTTTATCTTCCTGCATTTGTCTTGCCATACTGACATTCATGGGACAGACTCCTTTAGATTGTTCCTCTTTTTGAGCTGATAAAAATGTAACATAAACCAAATATAAACCAAATATAACATAAAACAACATTATGATAATATAAAGGGTAAAATAAAACATAATGATCAAAATACAGACTTGATTTTTATAATTTTCATCTTCCTTCCTTCTTCCGTATTTTGTGCAGAATGTGTCAGGGTTCTACGCAGAAATAGATGGAGCAAAAAAGGAACTGCAAGAAAAACTAGCCAATCTGTCTCTGTTTGATGATGATTTGGTAGAAAAGGCTATGCATCATGCACACAACCTAAGAAGACTTGCTGATGAGCTGGACCGGTAAACTTTAACTTCAGCAGACTCTGTTCATACAAGTGCTACTGATTGAACAGCTGAATGAACTAAAAGACAAGCAGAACCACACTGACATTAAATATGCTGTCTGTAAATAGGCACTAAACAAATTGCTGTTGTCATGTATGGAAGGACTTGTCACGGTCTTGAAATATGACTTTATTTGCAGTTGGCATTACTCACGGAAAAGTCACTGCTGCAAACAAATTCCTAAATAAAATATTTCACCAAATTCTACCTTAAGTAACATCATGGACATATGTTTTTGGAAGACAAACTTAAAACTACTCTTCAAGTCTACTATCTAAATACCAGTTGTTTCTTAATATTAGTATGCCCTAGATAGGAGATTAAAACAGAGAAAAAAATAACAGATGGTTTTCTTTTATACAATTGTATAAAGCTGACATCCGAAACTCTGTTCTATAACACCACACAAACTACAGACAGCCTAGAAAACAAACAATATGTTCAGCCTGAGATCAGCTACCTGGGGGCAGCAGAATCACTTGAAAGAAAATACCCCATATGGCTAGCCTTCATCCCTTACCAAAATAATTTAAAAACTACTACCAAGTACAACACATTAGGTATTTAATAGAAAGCAAACAGAAACAATTATGAAATACCCAGATGGAAATGTGCTGACTCTTTTATTTGTTGAGAAGATTGTCCTGCAGTGAAACTTTTATCCTTTAAAAAATTTAGCGTGTCTTCAAATCATTTTGGTTTTTATGGGTTTGCTTTATAAGTCTGTTAGGCTTTTATTTGGTAGAGTTTCTTCTTTTGTCTTGTGGGAATACAGCAGGAAATTCTTGCAACAACACTGAATCTGGAAACTTAATAAGCCCTTAGTCTGCAAACTCTTTGAAGTGAACACACACACGTGTGTGTCTATATATATTTAGAGTCTATATCTAACATATAACCTGAATTCTGTTTAGCACAAAATATTAAAAAAATAATATTTATCCAAAGTTGCTAACAGCTGAAGATTGAGTCCTAAACCAACTGCTGTTTAGAATCTTCCCTGAAGACCAATTATCATCTAATATGCAAATCAAGCTCCATCATGCCAGCAAAGCTATCTTGTAATTTTTAAGTCTAACTTTTTGCAAAATTTCATGATCATTGGCAGTTCTTGATCTGATCCTCCCCCCTCTTCCACCTACTTTTGGAAAGTATAAACAGTCCAGTGATACAGCTGTCCTGATCACTGGCTCACACAGGTCCTTCCAGTCATTGCCAGGAGTTATCCCTAAAGAAGGACAATTGATAGCTGTTGTCCTGTTAATTCATGGAATATCTAATCTAGATTAAAAAAAGGTAAAAGCTCAGAAGTCACTTGTTGCTGCTCACATTGATGTTAAGGGCATAATTCCCAGAGTTAAACCACTGAGAAGTACCTTCTATCCACATAGTTTTCACCTGCCTCATACTGACATAAATGGTCATACACAATGAAGAGGATACTACTTAGGCCAAATATATTTCACTGCATAATTATATAGCCAGAATTCACAGAATGTTAAGAAAATTAATCCCTCTGGAACTGTTGTGATTCAGTCTAGTTTATTCCTCCTTTTACTCTCTTTTCATAGGAATTTGTATGGTGTTGATACAAATGGGTTGGTACAAAGGGCCATAAATGCTTCAAATGTGTATGAAAACATTGTCGGTTATATTGAAGAAGCTAATAAAGCTGCATTGCTGGCACTGAACACAACAAACCGGGTCAACGATGTAAGTAATTTTCATAATATCAGCTTTTACTTTGCAATGCTTCAGGGACTTCAGACACCTAAGAAAAAACAAGGTTTATTTTCACTGTCAGCACTGAACTTATCACTGCACATTTTGCTTCATCTACTATTTCCTGAGTTAAATCCTAGGTGGTTAATTATTCTGCCAACCTAAAGTTCCCTGATATTTGAAAAGATGCAACAGGTTCATTTGTCCCTAAGAACAGGGTGATGCTGCTCTGTGTTGTCACTCAAATTGAGGCATTTCTGTGAAAGTCCAGACAACTCCCTACTCCACACAGCACCATGTGGCAAGAAAGGTGGTCAAGACATCTAACAGAAGCATCATGGTGTCTCATAGAAGTCAAGTTAAAATGGGTCAAGTAGCCCACTCACACAACCAGTGCAGGGACAGGGACGATAATTTTGTCTCTAGTCTTGCTGTTCTAAAATATTTTATATGTATTTTTGTATGTACATAGTTTCCGACCTATATAGATGCTACTTAACAGCAATTTATTAGTGGGACAGCAAGAGGACTTGGTTAGATTACAGGAGCCCCAACCCCAGGGAGCTGTGGGATTGTGAGTCCAGCCCTCCGCTTCCAGCATGCTGCTGGGGACCGCGGGGCAGCTCCGCCGGCAGCGCAAGTGTTCATCGCCCATCTGGGCTGACAGGAGAAACGAACAGTCACAGTGCCAAACTCAACCCAGCATGAGTATCACGTTGACCATACTGGAGCTGACAAATGAAGACGACTTCTGTGCTTTCTGCATCTTTGTTATTCAGTGTTATTTTCTGGAAAAGCATACATTTCTCTAAACTTTAATTGTAATCTACAGAAAATTTTGCTTTTTAGACTTTTTTCCTAATCCAACTGCCCATCTTAAGTGTTAACAAAGCAAACGAAACTGCAGTGACTTTGTAGTTATGGTGCCCACAATTAAACACAATAACGAGGAACATTTGATAAGGATTATACTGACTTTCTTTTTTGGAACATACTTGTAGGCTGCAGTTGGAATTGATACTCAGACCATTTACCATAAAGGTAAAAGCGACGAACTCCTCAACCAAGCCATGGAGTTACAACGGACAGCAGATGACAGTAAATATACATCCCTTCTACTTTCCCAGTCAGTTTATAAGCACGTTAAAATAACACTTCAAAAGCACATCACTAAGGCAGAACTACTGCTGTAACAGAATAGTGTATTGATTGAAATTGCCACACAAAAAGTACTTGAAATTGCCACAGACACAGTTTGAATAGTTCATGTGTTGTCATCCTGCCAGATGCTGAAAGTTTATTTCATGGACCATTTCAGATACAACCACTGTTTAAATACGTGATCCTGCAAACAGTTGTTCGCAGGTAAATATACTCAATCAAGTAGTTCAAATGAAATCATTGCACAATAGTTTAAGTGTTCAGAAAGCTGGATTTCACCAGTGAAGGATAGAAGTTAAAGCATTTTGGCCTTTTTTCACTGAAAATGAAAGCAAGCTCTAAAATTACAGAAATTACCTCTTTTTCAGGACCTTTTGAGTTCCTTAAAACTTTTCCTGTATATTTGTTGCAGCTATTCTGAGCACTTCTGGTAAAGCAAAGAGAGAGAGGTCTCCAGATTTTGCTAAGCCCTGTGGCAAGCAAACAATGGTTGGAGCTGCAAGGCTGCTTTTTCCTTTAGATTATGTGAAGTCCAGAGCAGTAGTATGCCCTATACTAAAAGAGGCTATAGTAGATGGCCTATGGTGTATTAGATGCTTAATAACATACCTCCACAGCATAAAATTTACTTTTTTAAATGCCACTTTGATGCCACTCAACTATACCTCCTATTTTCTCCCCACAGGTAACGATTTAACCATTGCAGACACTAGCCGGCACGTTAATGGCACTCTTGCCAGAATGAACGCTCTGCGAAGCCAGCTGATGAGAGCCATCACAAAAATGCAATCAGCAGAGCCAGGTTGTAAGAGGAATTTCATCTTTATGTTTTATCTTCATACATTTAAGAGCAAATTTTATCTTTGCATATGGCCTATGAAGTTGGTGTTAAGATTTCAGTTCCCAGGAGGCCTAAAGGAATTTGACTGAAACTACAAGACCTAGACAGAAAACATCCAGCTTTAACACATTCATAATGAAATTATATGTTTTTCCACCTGAAATTATTAACATTCTTCTTCTTTATCCTCCTTATTGCAATTGTCCTCTCCCACGTTACTCTTGATCTTTTCAGGTCTTGCAGAATCTACATGTCTGTGGTCTATTCTATTGATAGTCAAAATCTAATTCACATATACATCACACCTCGCAAGCAGAGTATTTGGGAGTTAATTACTGATCATCTTGATTGACAAAACCTCACAGATTTTAGAAAAGCGACATCACAGAGCATTCAGCAAGTATATGTGAAGGTGTTCAAAGTTGACATGGTCAAGATTTCTTCATTAACTTCAAGTAAAAATGGCTGGGGTTTACAGCCAAGACACTATCACATGCAAAATGCCACAGGTTTTACAAATACAGTAGTTGGTAACTCAAAAAAAAAAAAAAAAAGCCAGGTTTAAAGACTAAATCACTTCAGTATCTTGAGTTTCTCTCTTTCAAAAATGATTTTCATGAAAAATATTCAAGAAATACATGCATTTTCTGTTAAAAACTTGATGAAAAACAATGTATTTTTTCATCTCTGTTCCAACTTCCTTGGCTGTATAACACCCATCCAAAGACCTTGAAAATGTCTAACCATCTAGAATGGAAATGAGAATTTGTTAAATTTTAAGAATTAATGTAACTGTACACCAACCACAGGAAGTTTTGAATATTCCCTGTAGAAATAAAGAGAAAACCAACCAGGCAATGTTGGATTCTCATTCTGCAGAAGGTAAAATCCTCTTAGCCTCACCAGTTTAAGTACTGGTTATAGTTTGCTTGAATCTTTGAGAGAGTTCATTATTTCTCACCCCCTATTTATTTTGTAGTGGAGGCCAGAGAGCGTTTGGAGCAAGCTAAACTGAAGACTGCAGAGGCCGTAAGTGCTACCATGACAGTAGCACAGGCTACGACCCCCATGGATGAGAACGTGAGGCTGTGGTCTCAAAACCTGCCAGACTTCCAGCACAATTCAGCGGCATACGACAGTGCTGTGCATTCAGCTGGGGATGCAGGTATGGTGACCTGAATTTTGCCATTCTGTAGCATTAAAAGGTCAGGGAATCTTTGCAACATCATGCTCTATGAATTGTTTACGTTGCATATTCATTGGGTATAGTCTTCTAGCATTTTACCTCCGTGAAAACATTTCAAAAATTAGCGATTGTCTACAGACTTGACTATACTTTAAAACTTTTGGACATTTGGACATTTCCAAAAATGACTTAAACACTTAAGGGCTGAAGTCTTTTGTTTTTATCAGGGTACCAAGGTCACAGTGAATGGTAGACAGCTTGTTTAAATACTTCTTACTGTTATGATTGGCAGTTTAGTTATTTTTCTTAACATTGGGAGGCATTTGAAAACAGGGCCCTTCTGTCCTCTGTAGGACAAACATGGAGGAGAAATGGTCCCTGACTGGATGAGCATGTAGTCTAAACAAAGGGGGCAAAGAGGATTATGGAGGAAATAAAATATTTAAGCAGGGGGATTGCTGGAAAAGTTTGTAAACATCACATTAATTCCACTTTTATTATCAAGGGGAGCAGGAAGAATAGAGTAAAAATTGGAAGATTTGTTATGAAAAATTTAAGGCAAATAAAAAGACAAAAGAAAAACTGAGGCAGGCTACAAAATTAAAAAGAATAAAGAGTGGAAAGAGAGGCAGAGGAATGAAGCTGAAATTAAGTGACTGGTGAAAGAAGGAAAAGAACAATTAGGAAAGAAAAGAATCAACCTAGAAGTGAAAATATTTGGAATAAAAAATTGCTGATAAAGAGCATTATTTATTGCTCAATGTATTCCTGGCTCTGCTCAGGAGGCTCATTTATCCCAAGTTATTCATGGTAGGGAAGCTAGAAATGCAGAACAAGAAATTTCCTGCATACCATCACTAGCAGCACTGTTCAGTGATGTCTTGCCTCCTGAAAGTGCCTCAGAGAAGGTCCATAACTCCATTGACTCTATCTCCAGAAAGTCTGCATCTCAGATCTGCTGCACCAAATCCCTTCTCCTTCTGACAGGAGCTTTGCAACTTGAGTGTCATTTTACTGCAAATGGTGTATGAGTACCAAACCCAACATTGCTTCTAGTGCCCCAAAGCACTCTTCCCTCTAGACTGCAGGGTCATTTTATTTCCAGAATTCAGTAATGGCTAAGACCCTCGCACTAATATTTTTGGTTAAGTGAGTGCTCCCAAGAATTGGTATAAAAGCGGCTCCCTCTGCAAGAAGAAATTCAGTGCTATTCAATATCCCAACTTCTGGCTCCAGAACTGGAGACAACTCACATTTCAATAGCCTGTCCCCAAGCAGCGATTCCTGACCCCACACCAACTCCAGTTCATACACTGAGCGCGACGTTACGTGGTAGGGAATACCCCTTTGGCCAGCCTGGGTCAGCTGTCCCGGCCGTGCCCCCTCCCAGCTTCTTGTGCCCCTCCCCACTGGCAGAGCATGGGGAGCTGAAAAGTCCTTGACCGAGTATAAGCACTACAACTACTTAGCAACAACTGAAACATCAGTGTGTTACCAACATTATTCTCATACTAAGTCCAAAACTCAGCACTATACCAGCCATTAGGAAGAAAATTAACTTTATGCCAGCCAAAACCAGGACATTTTGCCAGAAAGATCAGGTGGAAATAGCTGAGAAGACAGATCAGTGCTACAAAAGCAGCTGGCAGGAGTAGCGCTCCAGTCAGATATGACTGTGATTCACAGCCTGGGAAGACAGATGTAGACATGCTGGGGCACAGTGGAGTGTTCTCAGAGGCTGATCATGTCCATCAATGTCCAAAAGAAAGTCACAAAAAATGTTCAGACACCGACCTGAAACACCAAAACACCTGATCATCATGCCAATAACACTACCATGGCAGCTGGAGGCTCTAAGCTGGCAAGTCTGGATTGCCTTGTATAAAGCTTGCACTTGAGTTTTGGAAGGGTGAGCGCATGTCTTGGCTGTGCAGTTTGTCTGAGAATATTCCCAGTGTTGCCATTGTGCAGGGAACTGGTGGGCTTCAGCAGAGAGGATAAAGGACAGTTTGGGAAGGAAAACACAAAAGGAGAAAGTGTTTGGAAGGTTATAGTCAAGGCATTTCCTCCTGGGCAGTTTCCCTTGTATTCTTTTTTGTATTTTATCACTGAGTAAGCCTAGTTTTCCTTTCTCATTCTCACCTTCATTGCAAAGAATAAAATAAAAAAAATCAATATTCTTCTGTGTTGAAAAATGCCATTATAAAGGACAACAGGAAGAGATTTATGGTGATATTTAATAATAGTACTAGTAGTAACAGATTTTAGTTTTATGTTTTTATGTTACAGTTGTTTTTCAAGTTTAATACCTCAATTTTCAAAGAGATGAAAAGCCAGTTTTTCAAGACATCAGATCAGACACAATTCCAATTCAGTTGCTGACTATTAAAAAGAAAAGGTGGTTGAAAATTGCTAAATCACTTTCTGAGCTTGCAGTTTTTCTACTTTAAGAATAATATGGGCTTTTTTCCAATGCAATGGAACATTAAGTTCAAACGGCAGAGAAAACATTCTGTAAGTTGATTATTATACCAGTTATTTTTTAAAGTAGAAATTTTAATGCATTCCAGAATGAATGTGTCATCCAAAATTCATTGTAGTTCTTTGAGAATTTACTAAAATAATGGCATTTTAATGTACATTAAGCTTTATATAGAATATCTGATTACTGACCCCCAGCACATAAGGTCTTTCAGGACTTAAAGGGAATAACTGGAGAGTCTAAAGCTCTGTATGGCCCACCCCTACACTGGACTTGGAAAGTTAAACACAAGTGAAAAGAGCCAAGCAGAGAGAGGGCAGGACTGTGGCAAACATAGCTTTTCGCTCTATCCAAAGAGAAGCAGGATTTGTAGGACTTCATGGGATCTTCTCATACTCTGGCTTGCTCTGAATGAGGCTCAGAGCTGCTTCAGTCTTTAGTCCACATAGAACTGGAAGCACAGAAAAGAAGCTGGAGGCTACTCTTCCTTCTTTCCCTTCTATACAGTCTCAGTACATCTGAGGATTAGCTCCTCTACCTGTCTCTGCTACCTTCTCAGACGTGAGTAAAAATATGAGGAGAAGAACACAGGAGCAGGTGGACACAAGTTGACAATCCCTGAAATATAACTGCAAACCCTACAAATCTGGTCTTAACCTTTACAGAGAATCCATGTCATTAAAAATTAACTATGAATACTGGATCTTTTTAATATGTATGTAGCTTGTGGCTAAAATCGCATTTCATTATACTGAGCTAGTTGTACCTACATCTAATTAAAGATGAAAAATGATGTGATGTGTGAATATCCTTCAAAGGCCAGCACATCATTGGCATCTCATGTAATGAAATTTGATTATAATTAGGGGTAGGTTTGGGTTTTTTACCCAGTAATTTTTCTGTTTGCTTATCTTTCTGGGAAAGGACTTCTCTCCCTTTGAACACAACAAAGCACCTGCATTTCCTTCTGATAACAATCCTACTTGCACACATGCCGGAAGACCCAGCCGTGAAAAACCAAAGGTCCGGGACTCTAATTCATGACACCTGGCAGATGTAGGCAGGAAAGCTGAAGAGGTTACCACTCACAAGGGCTGGGGCGGGCAGTAAGCACAGTGTAGGTACACATGCCTCATTCAGCTTGGGCTTTCTACCGTTGTATGGTACAGACCTGTTACCACAGTCTGAAAGCAGCGGTGTTTCTGCTAGCAGAGTGGTCTGTGAACCACATGCAGACACATCACCTGTGTGGCCATTGTTCCTGTTTGGGTGATAAAGTTTGGGAGAGATGCACAGCTGAGTGCTGAGAGAAACAACTTATTCACCTCCCCTAAAATGAATTTGAAGAGCTTATGAACCATAGCTCCTAGATGTAGTTCCCAGGTCAGCCACAGATATCCAGTGAGATGCTGAACAAATAATCCTTCTGCTCCAGTAGTCATATCTGTAAAATTGGGTTTAACATGTATTTGCCTTGAAGGAAGATGAAAAGGTTAAAATGATTGACATTTTTAAAGCTACCTGAAAGCTTCCTAGTTGAGGAAAGTATTAAAGAGGTACAACACCACAGTAGTGCCTAAGATTCCCATGAAAAAGTAGTCTCCTTTGTGCAAACTTCTTTGCAAAAACTTTTGCAATACTAGATTCTGCTAAGTCACTACCCTTTTTGAAACCGCTGTGTCTCACACACCACAATTAGGACTTGTTCTTAAAGCAGAAGGAGATAGGTCAGTTAACCTAAGGGGGTAAGGAAGAATTTTTTGGGTGAAAAAACAGTGTTACAAAGAGGAAAAAACCAAGCTGCCTCTTCTTTTCTAACTGCAGTGAAGAAACTTACAGAAGTCTTCCCTCAACTCCTGGACAAACTGCGCAGAGTAGAACAGAAGGCACCAGCGAACAATATTTCCTCCAGCATTCAGCGGATCAGAGAGTTAATTGCTCAAACCAGGAGTGTAGCAAGCAAGGTAAAACTTTTGGATGGGACTTTTGGTTACTAGTGCTAATAATCAAATGCATCTTCCTAGGAGCTCCATTTTCTTAGGCTATGTTAGAAGCTCAAACCTTGACATTATCACCTCTCAACTGTGTAAACAAAGTACCGTGGAAGTCGTTAAAATCTTTACAGTTGCTATGTGCAAGCAATTAACATTACCATGGTATTCATGGTAGACCACTGCTCCTGCAGCAGCAACTTTAATTAATTGGTACAGTGTTAAAGATAGCCACAATAACAAAAGCATTTAAAGCTAAAACTAATAGGTCATTACTCAGCTGGCAACATTAGTTACAAGCGGTAGTCATTATGGCAATTTAATGCAAACTTTTCTGAGATGACAATATTTCTTTTTTTTCTTTTGAATTAATTTTCTGCAGGGTAAGAGAATCTTTGGTTCATACATATTTAATAGAGAGAAACATTTTCATTATCATACATAAATTATGAGGGATCTTTCTACAACAAGAACACCGAGGTCAAAAATAGAAACAGTATATTTCAATTCATTCAGAGAAATCAAAAATTCTGTGCATTATTGTATGTTCACAATGCTGGAATATGCTGTTCGCATACATTACTTCAAAAAAGAAAAGGAAAAAGCAGTTAGTATGTGCACAGTGCTTGACTGTTCCTTAAATGTATTTCGTCATTCAGGCATATTGTGCTTAAAACTTAACTTGAAAACATTATTTTGGTTATGTTGAAGTCATTTTGAACTAAAATGAACATGTTTTAAAATTTTATTAGCATCTCATATATATCACTGTAGCTTCAGTAACATAACAGGATTACTCATGAACAGAAAATTGGTCATACTACTCCCAAAGCAAAGAAATAAATTATGGGTATAAGTTTTGCAGCTATGTAAGAATTTCATTATGTGCCATACATAATGATATGGCCCTGATTCAACTAAGCACACATCTATGTCCCACTGAAATTTAATTTACTTTACGAATATGCTTAAGCAGAGTTAATTAGAAGCTTTAATTAATTTTAAAATGAATTCCCTTCATGTTCTTTACAGCACCTTCCAGAATTGATTGTTATAAACATACAATTTTGCATGGCCAATACATAGGTGCCAACTCCACTCTTGCAGTAAGCAAGGCTGTTGGTTAATTATTCTTAATTAATATAATTTACCTTAAGTAATGTCCCCAGGCAGCAATAATGTGTCTCACTTAGCACACTTGCAACTGCAGGTCCAAGTTTCTATGATGTTTGGAGGCCAATCAGCTGTTGAAGTCAATCCAAAGATCAACGTGGAGGAACTGAAATCTTTCACTTCCATGAGCTTGTACATAAAGTTTGAGAAAGACAGCCCACAACTGGCAGCGTCTCCAGACAGATTTATTTTGTACCTCGGAAACAAAAATGTAAGAGAATAACCCAGTTAATTTTTATATATGTTAAAAAAAAAGAAAATTTAAATAGGCTTGAAGTTTATTTGCCCTTGGTTTTTCCTCTCACTATTTCTCCATGTTTAAAAGTAAGGTGTGTCTACTATATGACTGTCATTGATTTTGTGACAAGCAAAGAGCAAGGGTTCCCGAGACCCCGTCCTTGAAACTTCTCACCCCAAACAATGAAAGATTCTCTCTAAGAAGCAAATTAAACTGGCTATGCAGTGTGCTGCTGTGATTGTCATTGCTGTGAGTCACACTTGCTATCTCCACTGCCAATACTGAGGTACACTGAAGCAGTTAATGTCACCCACCTGGCTTTTGTGCGCCATGTTTTAGTCAAGTTTATGCTGCTGACAGTGTCTGTTCCAAATCTCTAAGGTCACAGGCCCCCAAGACAAGCATGTTTCTTTGCCTGTGGCTTGTGCTGTTGTTGTTGTACACTCTGTATGTCACTCCTTTGAAACACCTAGAAAGGGCATATACTCTCACCACCTGTACATGTTGTGAAATAATTGTTCTTTAACTTGTGGTTCCTAAAAGAAAAAAAATCGCATCTCACAAGCAAGGTATAATCCTGGCAAGCTGTTACTTGGAAAGGGTAAAGAGGCAGGCTTTTCTTTTTAAGCTTTTCTAAAAAGACTGTCTACTGAATATAAATCAAGTGAAACCCCTCTTGGCAGAATATTTAATTACAGCATAATACCTAGGCTTTAGACAAATGTTTCTTCCTATCTCCTGCATATGACTCTGTACACTAAATACTGATGAACAGCTTCCCATTGAACATGACCAATTTATGGTGAGAAGACATCTCATGACCTTGTATTTACCTCAGTCAAAATGGATATGAAGTAAAATATCAGAGACTTTTTCTGTACAGTTCTATCTGGTAAAAGAAAGTAATTAGAGAATGAAGCTTTTGTTTATTAGTTATATTTAAAGGTGTCATTTAGTCTATCAAAGCTCGTCCTTTACTAATGTTCTGCATTAAATCTCTTTTGACATTGTAGCTCTGACATCCTTCTCCATTGGTGTTTTAGGCAAAAAATTACATTGGTCTTGCAATTAAAAATGACAACCTTGTGTACATTTATAATCTGGGGGGTCAAGACGTGGAGATACCTCTGGATGCCAAGCCAGTCAGCACCTGGCCTTCTTACTTCAGTATCATCAAAATTGAGAGGTAAAGTGATAATGTACATTTCCCCAAAATCAGTTCGTAGAAAAAAAAAAGTCAAACAGAAAAGACTGGGCCAGAACTGCTCATCATTAGTCTTTAGTGCCTGGTTCTAGTCCTGCTGACATAAATGGAAGTTTTCTTTGCTTTTAGAGAGCCAAGACCCTCAGGGACACAGGGGGGAAGAGAAAGTTTCTGTAGTTTCTCTTGTTCTTTTCCCGCAGAGTACCAACTTTCTGGTGAGGAAAAAAAACCCTTCCTGGAGTTGGAGGCTTGCTTGTTCTTTTTTAAGTCTAGCCAACACAAAACTCTCTTCTCTTATCTCTTCTACAGGATTGGAAGACATGGCAAAATGTTTTTAACTGTGCCCAGTCTTAGCAGCACAGCTGAAGAAAAATTCATCAAAAAGGGAGAGGTCCTTGGTCCTGGCTCTCTCCTGAATTTGGAACCTGAAAATGCTGTTTTCTATGTTGGCGGAGTGCCTCCAGACTTCAAGGTTGGTCAGATAAATACTCCACGTTCAAATTAAATAATGCAAACTAATCTTGCTGGGCTTCCCTTTAAACACTGAAATGGTTAATAAATAAAATGTCCTTACTTAGTCATTTATCATCTTAGGATGCCAACTTCTAACCATGATGAAAACTACTGTTTTCTCAAGCATATCGTGTCATACAGTAAGATGATCAGATTCCTGTGAGCAGTCATTCAAGTTTTCTGAAATGTAATAATAAGAAAAAAGCCTGCTAGCTGTGAAGTAGTATGCATAAATTAAGGCCTATTAGCCCTGTTTAACAAAGTTTGTAGGCTACTACTTTTTTTCAATGCTAGTAAGTTCTTGGCACTTACAGTTTCTCTTTTACAACTGTCACAAAAATGAAAAGTAATGTATTGTTAATATTAGAACAGTGTGGGAAACTAGCAATATAGTTATTTGTTTGAATTTAAATTATCATTGGTTTAGATCCAGCCTTACAACAGCATGAAGACTTCCCTGTGCAAAACACGTCTGAAGACCTGTGTGAGACAGTTGCTTCAGTCTAGTTCCTAGTAGTTAGCATGAGTTAGCACATCATTTAACCTGCTTCTGTGAAAATACCAGGTCCTCTTTTTGGATTTAGAAATTGTTGTGAAGTCTAAGTACATTTTCATTCAGTCATGCAATTTTGATAGCCAAGATTCTTCATAACATATGCCATGGTCTGAATTTTAGATTACTGAGCCCTGGGTGCAGATTGCCTGGGAATAGGACTGACGACAGAATAATAGTTGCACACACACAAAAATGTAACCTAGCAAATGAACCCTCCAGGTCAGATCCAGACCAGGGCAGAGGAAAGGAAAAAGAGAAAAGTAAAGGAAAATGGGAATAAAAGGATTCATAGAATTATTTGATAAGCATATGAGTCTCTTTTCCCTCAGGAATGGACACCTCACGTTTTAGTTTATTAACATAACAGTCTCATTTGCTAAAAGCTTTTGCCTTTGCTTCCCTGTTACGTACTTTGTAAATATGAAATGTACCACTTAACCATCAGAAGTCTCATACTTAATATAATTTAACAGAATAGTAGAAGAAACAAAGGAAAAAAAGGAAACAGGATCATTTACCAAAGGTATCTGTGCTGCAGATAAGAATCTCATTTTCTCTTACAGCTACATGTATTCTGCATTGCTGTATTACCATTATTATTATACCATAAGCAAAATGGAAATAATGAGAGGCCAAAGAAAAGTTACTGGCAGTGATCAGACTCTGAAATACAAGAGGTGTTATTAATATCACACCTGTTCCACAGGGCAAAGTATTTGAATATTAAAAGAATGATTCCCTAGATCTGTCAGCTTTATTCTTTTGTATTTTTCCCCTCACCGATGTGGCTATTTTAATTCCATTTGCAGTGACCTTTGTTAAAAGAAGGAGTTTCTATATCCTGCTAACTGTTCAAAATAACGCCTACTGAGGATTAGCCACTGGGACAGACTTTGAACTCAAGTCTCCTGGGTTTAAAGAGCTCCCTCATTTCTCTCTCTTTCGCCAAAGTATGAAGTTATTTTTCTGTCCGTGAAGGATGTCTATACATTAGATATGAAATATCTGCTGAGGTATTCAAACACACCGAGCAAGATCTGTGATTAGCCCAATCTTAACCCTTTTCCCCTTTTCCAAGTGCGCTCCCTTCAAAACTGCAAGTTTTTGTTTGCAGTTGCCTTTCCTCACCTGTTGTTCTCGCTGTGAGACCATTCACGTGCTCCATTTTAACTTACAGCACAAGGGCCATAAGGACTGCAACGACTATTCCAAGGTAGCATCATCCCATTTGTTTCAAAATAGGAAAAGCACAGAGACAAAGGGACCCCCGGCACAAACGCTTCCGTGATACCCAAATAAAGAGTGTGACCTTTCTCCTTTTACTCGTCCTTGCCCCCTGCACAGCTCCCTCCGAGCTTAAACCTACCCGGCTTCATCGGCTGCCTGGAACTGGCTACCCTGAACGATGAGGTGATCAGCCTGTACAACTTCCAGCACGTCTACAACATGGACACCACCACATCGCCACCTTGTGCCAGGTAGGGGACAGGCCCGCCGTCACCCCGCTGCTCTGGTCCGCGGCGCGCGCCCGTCCTGCCCTTCGTTCCTGTCTCGGAACAGCAACGTGAAGGTGGTACTGAGTGGTCCAGAAGGCACTTTGCCACTTTTAACTCCTAGTTGCGACAACTTACATGTTTGCAGCTGTCTCCATTTGCAGCTGTCTCGCAACCTTGCTCGTGCCTTTGAAAGAGAAATGCAGCGTGTCCTCCCTGCCATGTTAGCTGGGGCATGGCCCGGGCTCCCTCCTTACCCACGCCACCCGCCCAGGACAGAACTGCTCCTAACTCGAGTCCTGTCCTGGCAAGCGATACAGCCACAGCTCCAGTGGGCCTGGTGAACCTGAATGCAGTCCCCACCCCCAGCTAGCAAAGCCAGTACGGAAGTTATCCTTCCGCCATGCCCTCTTAAACCCACCACAGAAATTCCTCAGATAAGCTATTCACAAACCTGGAAATGCAGCCCCTAAGTAGAAGTGAACATCAACCACAGCGTTCATGTAGCACAGACATTAGCAGGCATTTTGTTCGTACAACAGGCAGCAACAGTACTCTCTTCAAAGAACAAGACAGAAACTTGCAGCTCTCACTGGGAAGAAATGCATTGCAGCTGTCTCGCAACCTTGCTCGTGCCTTCGAAAGAGAAATGCAGCGTGTCCTCCCTGCCGTGTTAGCTGGGGCATGGCCCAGGCTCCCTCCTTACCCACGCCACCCGCCCAGGACAGAACTGCTCCTAACTCGAGTCCTGTCCTGGCAAGCGATACAGCCACAGCTCCAGTGGGCCTGGTGAACCTGAATGCAGTCCCCACCCCCAGCTAGCAAAGCCAGTACGGAAGTTATCCTTCCGCCATGCCCTCTTAAACCCACCACAGAAATTCCTCAGATAAGCTATTCACAAACCGGGAAATGCAGCCCCTAAGTAGAAGTGAACATCAACCACAGAGCGTTCATGTAGCACAGACATTAGCAGGCATTTTGTTCGTACAACAGGCAGCAACAGTAGAATCTCTCTCTTCAAAGAACAAGAGAGAAACTTGCAGCTCTCACTGGGAAGAAATGCAGGAGGTGTTGGGACAGAGCAAATGATTGCTTCCCACGCCGTTCCCACGGGGAGTGCGAGCTGCTGCTCCCCGGGACAGTGCATGTCGGCTGCTCCTGGGCTCACCAGCAGAGCGCATGGGAGTCTAAAGGCCTCGGAGAATTCAAACGGATTTCTGCACAAACCAGGCAAGCTCTGAACAAAAACATACGTGTATCCTTATAACGAGGTGTTGTGGGCCTGCCACTTCACAAGGATGAGCAAAGAATTTTCCTGTCCTCTACATACAACACAGGGTAAAAGATCGCTCTAATGATGAAGGAGTTAGATACACCTTCAAAGTTACACGTTATTTTCCAGAAAAAATTCACATAAAGAATTTGAGAGAAAAAGTCATCAGTCTCACTGCTGCCACAAAGAAGAAACACTTCAGAATAGTTATTTAAAGAAAGTATTTTAATGATAAAAGCCTTTCAATTTCCCCAATTAAAATGGGGATATGCCAAATATTGCTTCCCCTCTTCTTTTTTTCGTAGAAATAAGTTGGCTTTCACTCAGAGCCGGGCTGTGAGCTATTTCTTTGATGGCTCTGGCTACGCCTTGGCAAGAAACATCGAAAGAAGAGGAAGATTCAGCCAGGTGACTCGGTTTGACATAGAAGTTCGAACACCTACAGACAACGGATTGATCCTGCTGATGATTAATGGGGTGAGTACCAAATCCTGCTGGTACCCTTTATCCATGAGCACCACAAGTTCCCCAGCACTTACAATATCATGGAAAATCCAAAAGTCCTTACATTTAACTTCTGCAAAAAGGTAATACGCTTTATGTCCTTACATTTAACTTCTGCAAAAAGGGAATACGCTGTGTTCATCTGGTGTTCATCTGGTACGTGTATACATTCGGAGGGAACTGGAACTTGGTCTGCAATGGCCCCAGGACGCCAAGGCCCTGAGCTGGACTCTGCTCTCATCCAGAGACAGTCAGAACTTCAGAGTGGTCATACCCCTGTGATGACACTTTGACAGACATTCCAGTTAAGCCCAGTAGTTGCACCTTTATTTAAATGCGAATGCACAATCAAAGCGATAGGAAATTTCTGTGAAGTAACACCCATAAAGCAGCCACTCTGTGTTAGCTGCCACTTTGTGTTTCAGGGTGTACTAGAGTTAAATACTCAAGTTACTGAAAATAGAAAGTAGCCCAAATAAAAAGGCTTTATCCATACATCACCAGCTTTTCAGAAGTTTGAGAGTGATATAAACACTGTAAGGGTTTGAAGAAAGTAGACTCCACATGCAAATATCCTCTGAAGACAAACTCAGATTTTTTTGTCTTTGGGCATCCACATCAAGCTCCCAAGTCCTGTGTGGATTACAACTTGGTAAAGCCACAGAAAATATTTTACTATGTAGATGCAGTGCACAGAGATACGCTTGTCTAGACACCTACACGTACTACTGCACTGAGCATTCAGAAGAGAAAAAAAAAACCAGTCTCATTAGAAGAGCTACTCTCTAGTGTTTGCCTTTAGGGTAACTTCCAGAGGAGAGTTGTGGGGAGCTATTTGCTCTGCAGCATAGCTTGCCACCACTAACCCTCGCTCTTAGGAGGTTCTGGACTAAGCAACTGCTATTAAAAGCTTAACAGCCTCTATTGCAGATCAGTAATTTTTCTTCCAAGCAATAGTGCCCAGAGGTTTGTCGGAGATGTATGTACTTGTGTGTTATGGTAGAAAGTGCAATCAAGTCAGATGTTAGCTGTGGAAGAGCTGCTCACAGGCACTTTTAGAAAGACTGTGTAAGCTGGCCCATTATTCAGTTCTGCAAAGACAGCTCATAAATACTCTAAATGAAATCCCTTATTCATTTTCAAATTTAAGCTGTTCAAGACAAACCCAAGCTGCAGTTGCATTTAAAAGCGCTAGATTAAAACCTACTTTTACTATTTTAAGTAACGACTTCTGAGGGTGGACTCATTTGTGTCAGAGACAGCAGTTCTTGGCCTGCAGTACATTTTTTGAGAATTATTGTTCCCATGTTTCCATTAGGCATGGGAACAACAGCATGAACACTAGGAGAGAAGACAAACATTAACATTAAAAGCATTAACCCAGATGCACAGTTGCTGTAAACTGTCCTTTCTGTTTATTTATGTTCAGATTTGGAACAAGACTAATTCTATGGTACATATCTTCATTTCAAGCACTTCTTAAAGATTTTCTGAAGTAGAGCTCCTGTTTGTAAAGTTTAGGTCACCCAGCCACAGAACAGAAGCCAAACCATGAAGCAGGATTAGTCAAGAAATCCAGAAACCAAATAGACAGTACATACATATACTCTAGCTCTTGCTCAGCCTTCAGCAAATACATCAGTGCTGTGAAAAGATATAATCCTGAGCTATTACAGGCATCATGACAGAAGCTGCTAACGCAGATACAGCCATTCTAGCACAACATTGCTTTTACCATTATACCATCTTTCATTTGGGGCATGTGGTATTACTTGGACAGTAAAAATAGATGTGTTTGCATTAGGAATACTTTGCTGGTAAAGAATATTGACATTTACTGTGCTACCAAATACTATTCCTAAAGGGAAACAGTTCACCAAGTCTTCAAATAAGTGCCGTTTATCAAACAATTATGTGTGCATGTGTATATGTACACATATATTATATATACAAAACTAATCCAGAAACTATGTTATAGTTTTGCAAATAAAAAGACCTTTTCACAATGTCAGGCACTCTTGTACACTGTTTATATTTTTTTTTAAATTGCTGCAACAATCATAGTTCTTTTCTGACTGCTGGTTTGTTTTATACAGAGTATGTTCTTCAGTCTAGAGATGCACAATGGCTTCTTGTACCTCCGCTATGACTTTGGCTTCAGCAGCGGCCCTGTGCTGCTAGAGGACTCCATGAAGAAGGCTCAGATTAACGACGCTAAATTTCATGAGGTAGAGATGCGATTACAATCACAACCATTTAACCAACTATCCCAGTAGCTCCAAAGCAGAATTATTACTGTTATTATTGTTATTAATTCAAAATGAAATTATACCCAGGACAGCTATGTCCTTCAAATATACAACTCCCCTCAACTAAAAACATGTCATTTTGTTAACCTACTCACCTTAGTTGTTATGCATTGTACTACACGAAATACTGCATTTCCCATTTCATTTGAAGGGAGAATTAATTTGGTAGCAGTCTTTTATAAATACATAGTATTTTAGGGTCTTTGGCAGATCTAAAATATCTACTTGTATTTGGTTTAAGCCAGTGTAACTGTGACAGTGGCAGTAGCAAATCCCCCTTAGTGGCTTGCTTCTCCTTCCATTTACTTGATGTAAATTCAAAGTCTAATTCCTGATTCACAACTTCAGCTACAGTTCTTTTCAACCTGTTTAAGCAAAGCACAATTAAGCCTTTTATGCTTTGACAATGAAATAAGTTTTTTAAGAAGTATGCCCTAACTTCTTGGATAAATCCAGAAAGCACTCTGAAGTTAATAGAGCTTATCTGTTTGCTGCAGTGCAGAATTTGACATGTGGTACTTTCATGTGGATTTATTAATAAGTGAAATATCCTGGGTTTTCAATCATCAGAGATATTGTGACATCAAAATAAGCTCAAAATATTTTTATAAAAATAAGTAACTGTTGTCAGCCTCTCCTGTTTTACAAACAACTTTTTTGATAAATGGGAGGAGCTTTTCAAACAAAAGGATATAAAGATTCAACCAATTTTGCAAAATCACGATGACAACTTACAAAAGATGACATTTTGGACACTTTTAAGCACATGTTTTTTTTCTCAGATTTCTATTATATATCACAATTCTAAGAAGATGATCTTGGTAGTAGACAGGCGACATATAAAAAGTGTGGACAATGAAAGAACAGCAATGCCATTCACAGACATCTACATTGGAGGAGCGCCTGCTGAGATCTTGCACTCCAGGTTGGTTTACAACTGGTATTCAATCATTATCGTTAAGTAATCACCATATTTAAGTTATGTTGTATGACCTGTGCTGAAGGGCTTACAATAAAACATTTTTCCCAGCCTCAACCCCTGAGACACACTTCTAAGTGCATCTCAGCTCTGAAGTACCAAGGATTAGGCTTGATCCAGCACACGTAAATTCGCTAAAACTGGTCTAGTTTTAGTAAGGGTAACAGAAACTGCTGTCTTCTTAAAACAAAAAGGCATTTTCAAAGAAAAAACACGTGAAAATATAGAATCACTATTCCTCCTTGCTCTGCAAAAAGTTACCTTTGTAAAATGGCGATGCACTAGCTGAAGGACTAAAACTCTCTACCAACTGCATTTTCAAATCTAAAGATCATATTTTTCCTACTATGCACTTCAGTTCTGATCTGTCTCAGCTTCTCTCTAGGCCCAAGTCAGCTGGCTCTGCGTGGGCGTGGGAAGAAAAGAAAAAGTCTCATTTTCCCATCATACCATTTGACAGAAGCCAAGATTAATCTCAGTAGACTGTATAACTCTCATTTCCTGCAGTGGGAATCTGCCGGACCAGGGTCACACTCTGGGAGAGCAGGCTGCCTGCTTTCAGAAGGGTATGCTCTTCTGGCAGGCAATATTCATGCCTGAGGTCAGACAGCAAGGCCAGCATTTTCAGAAGGACTCCAGCTGCTGTTTTATGTGTCACAACTGCTAACAGAAATACCCTCTCTCTTTAAAATATCATCTCTCTTTAAAATACCCTCTACGTTAAACAAAAAAAAAGGGGGGGGAAGATAGCAAATGTTGCACAATGGTTTCTAGGAATTAGTGGTAAATCTCCTGAAACCTTATTTTGTTGTCAGGGGAGCCTGTTGAATCAATAATGTCTGAGATATAAGACACAGATTAAGCTTTTAAGATACGGACAAACTTCTTGTAAAAGAAGATTATGCCTTTCAATCCCATGTAACTATTTGAACATGCAAACAAAATGGTGGGCAAGGGAGAAACAGAGTATATAATTTATCTGGCCTTTCAAATAGTTCTTTACAAAGGTCTGTCATAAGGGGCTGTTAAGAAAACTAGTAGGGTGGAAGGGGGAAAGGCTGCAATGGATTAGAAAGCAGCTGGGAAAGAGAAAATGGGACAGAGAGTAACTCTTCAATTTTCACAGTATAAGAAGTCTACAGCACATGCCCAAATGATCTCTCTGGTATCAAATACATTAATGATCTAAAAACAAAGCACAAAAGGATGGTAAAAATTACTTTAGTTAATCAAGCCTAGAGAACACTGAAAAAGCCCAGAAGGACCTAGAAATCTAAGCAATTGAGCAACAAAATGACAGATGAAATTTGTTCTCAAATGTAGGATACAAGATAAATCACATGAATTATGCCCGTAGTTTTCTGAATGAATTGTAGTCATTCTGCAAAACACCTGGAAGGTACTGTCAAAGCAAGAAAAACAGCGTCTCAACAAATGGTCATATCAGAAAAAAAATCCATAGGCATTGTAAAAATATGACAAATTATAATATTGAAAATTGTATACTGAGTTGATTTAAACATTACCTTGGTGGGACTCAGCTTTGGTTCTCATGACGAGGGTAGACAGGAGGAAGCATGGTCCAAATGTGGTGACACCTTTCCATTTTTGTCAGGAGCATAGGTTGTTACTACCATTATATCTACTGATGATCTACTACTATCTGTCTCCTACTAGTAGTATCTACTACTGGTATTTATCGTTCCTTTTTCTAGGATGACTTACAATTGACTGACATTGAGAGGCAGCAGCAGGGGGGAAAACTAGCTGTAGTCTTAGAGGAGGAGTTTAATATTCTTTCAAAGCAGTATATTTTCATTTGCTTCAACAGCACTTTGTCAATTGCCTTTTTTCCCAAATAAATGAATCTGGACGTACAATTGTACATTATTTTTCTCCCAACTCAGTCACTGCATAAAGCAGAAAGCTAAAGGGAGGTAGGAGCACTGGGTGCTGGGTTAAAACCTATCTTCTATAGCTCCTGTTGCTCTTAGAAAATGATAAGTTAATGGCATTTAAAAGAAAGGCATACTTGTGGCATCTAGCCAGTCCCATGGTCAGTCAGACTAGAGATTCAACTGATTGAGTGACAGCCCACACTGATCCAAATCCCAGTGAGGATGGC